GAACCGGAAAAAGATTGCGTCCCCCGATGTTGCTTTGCTCCTCCCCGAGTGCGGCTGCTTCTTCTTTTGATAGTGAACTTTTGCGCGTCCGGTTCTGTCCGAATAATAATAGAACAAGCCCCCTTTTATAGTAGTCCTTGGTTCAGTCGGTAGCTTATTTTTCAAGAAAGAAAATTGGGTTTGGTGTAGGTTTGGACTTCAGTCAATGAGCTCACAGCGCCCAAGCAAATTGAATTTTTTCCTTCTCGGTTGTAAGTTCAGCAATGGGCAGCAAGAGAGGTTAAAAAGCTTGGTCCAAATCAACTAGGAAAGTATGGGCTTCCTTAAGCTTTTCTTAACTCTGATCAGCCCACTATTATGTTTCAAGCTTTGACCCAAATCAATTGACTTCAGCCCACAAGTCAATTTAAGTTCAGCATCTTCTCGGTCCACCAAAAACTAATGGTCCATAATTGTTGTTTGGTCCTCCAAGTCTTAAACTCATCAACTTTCTTTCTCTTTCATTCCTTGCATCTTCAATTAAGTCCAAAACTTCAATAATTCATTATTTATTCTTCAAGAAGAGAATTTGTTTCCTGCAAGTCATTATAACTTTATTTAAGTACCAAATTCAAGATATAAATTCTTATTAAAAATATAACGAATGAGAGCATAAAAATATATCTAATTTAGCACTTATCAGTTTTCTATGTGTTATTGTGATGGAATTTGCTGATTCAGAATATATCTACGTTGTGGTAAGAAAGAGATGTTATATCAATAATTTATCACTCACGAATAATCTTGAGATTGTTCTTAAATCCCCAGTCACCATGCATGATCGATGCATATCGCATTCCCCTTAACCAAGGAATATTGGTCCTATTTGGTCAAACGAACACAACTTCCCCAGAAAAACAAACGAACACAATTTAGATTATGGATTAGCAAAGGAGTTGATAAATTCCAGTGGAGGTTTTGATTCGTCATTGGAGCAAATTCCTGCAATAATCTTGTACACTCTCAGTTCCAAAATTATTGCCGAGTTTTAGATTTCACTTTTAGTACAATTTGAACAAGAAATAAAAACTCAAACCGCACAATAATTATGGTACGGAAGGAGTATTATTTTGGGCGATTACAAGGCAAAGAATCCCCGTTCTTTTATTAGATTAATTTCTTTGTTTTGTTTTTTACGAAGCAAAAAATGATTGATAACCCACATATTATTCAGATTTTCAAACGTGAATTCATTCCTAAGGGTTGATAGTATACATTTTTTTTTTTGGGCTTAAAATCTAGATAGAAATTTGTAAATGAAATTTTTTATTCCAGTTACCAATTGTCTTAGCATCACAGACCAACAAAATTAAAAGAAAAAATCTTGTGCAACATGCGGGCTAGCGAAATTTTAAGCAGACTTTAAAATACTTGAAGTCTCATGAACTCCAAGATCCTTTCTTCCCAGTAGCACGATGAGACTTCATAATGAGCAGGATGCAAAATCTAAAAACGGAAGCGAAAATATCCGTCTCAACTAAGATACCAAACAGGTAATTAGTACTTCTTTAAACGGAAGCATAAGGTTTATCGAACACAATCTCGGTGTGACCCTTTTCCTTCTTCTTTGGAGGTCTCTCTTTTTAATTTTCTCATTCCATCTACTTAGCTATATAATTTTGAATTATTAGTTAATCTATTAAAATGAGTTCAACAGAACACTTATTATGGAAAGAAAAAAAATAATCCTCGGTTTCTGGATTCTTTTTGGTCTTTAAAACAAGTTAAAGCACTATATTTGGACCTATAGAGTTATTGATCAAGGTTACGAGAACGTAAACTATGGCATGCGAAGGAATTTAGGAATTGATGAGGATCGTAGGGAGCCCTTTTAGCTGACCAAATAATGAAGCAATAGTAGCACCCCGTTAGAAACAAACATCAATTGCCTGCTATATCGATTAAACAATTTAGTGTGCATTATTTTTTAAGACAGGGGCAGTAATTTTAATAGCCAATTAATTTTACATCTTTGGTCAATATTTTGCACTCAGTAACTTTCTTTTTTGGTTCAAATGAAATGTTGTTTGACATCAAAGCCAAGCGCAAACAGAGCTTCAAAATACTCAATTTGAATTATATACAATATATATATATATATATATAATAATTGGCGGATAACCTACGAGTGCAACGTATAATGCATAATAATGCGAAATCTTTTGTCCACGAGGTACTGTCATATAAATTAAGTCCATTCATTAAGGAACTGTCTTACTCCATTGAACAACAACCATAACCTAGAACAACTTATTGATAAAATACCCCGGCCCCCAAAAAACAAAAAATAAATAAAAAAAAAAATAAACACAAGATTCAATTCCACATGAAACCCTAATACAAAAACAAAACACAGAAACGAAATAAAACAACAACAGTTTTAATGAAATGGACGGCAACACATAAACTTGCTACAGCTAGCCACTTTTGCTTGGTGCATCACCATCAGCCGCAGTCTCCGTGGACCCTTCACTTTCTCGCCGTCGGCCTGAGCAAGAGACAAGTTAGGGTCAACCCCTTCTCTAGGAGGAGGTTGATGATCAGCTTCTTCAGAATTTTTTTGGTTCGTATTAGCTAGATTTCTACGGAGTTCCAGCCTTTCTTCATTTCCAGTGCATTCCAGCAACATCAACGAGACATCCATTTCCCTGATCTCCTTATTTGTCTTTTCCAGGAGGGCCTAGACCTCCACAATCCTTTCTTGACAGGCTCAAAATTCCTTATCGCCCATTTATTTATTTTTTTTTTTCCCTTCTGCATCTTTTCTGATAGATCGGATTTTTTTTTAGAACTGAGCTGATTGATGCTTAGGATGTGTTTTGTTTTGTTTTTCATCTTTACTCTTTGTTGTCTTTTGTATTGTCTCTTTGGTTACTATTCTTATATTGTTTCATACGAATCTTGAGAAGCACATAAATGGTACATCAAATAAATCTGTTGATACTAGTTTAAGTGGTATACCTTCAGATTCGAAGCTTGAAGTAGATGCAGATCTTCTGTCCCATGTTGAAAGTTGGAGAAGTTACCGCGGGAATGTCCGAGACCTCTTAAGACTAATTTGAAACGTGCACCACTATTAAGTAAACTCTTGAAGGTCCATATAAGCCCATATGTATTTCCACCTTAAAACCAATTGACAATGAGGGGAGTAGCACATGAAGTATATATGTTGATCAAGTTGGGTTCTTAACTCCAATGTGGGACAAGTGTCTTTCACTTGTTTTTAACTTCAAAGGGAAATTTAACATAAACCATTAGAAGTGGTTAGGTTGTTGTCTTTCCTGGTAATACATTAGGATTCGATTCTCACTAGGGGTTGTGAGGGGAGTTTTATCCACATTTAAGTGGGGTCCACTAGGGTAGATTTTTAGGAAAAAAAATCTTATTCTTTTTCTTAAGAAAAAACATAAACCATTAGAAGAGAATTAATTACGGATTTAAAATTTTAGCTTATTTTCATGGCTCTTATTGAGCTTTGGTTGTCATTATCGACGTAATGAGAACTAAATATTTAATCATGTGATTTTTATAATTTTTCGACAGGCTTTAAATTTAAAATTTACCTCTACGAATGATAAAAATGCCATTTTTTTATTTATTTATTTTTTTGGATGGAAGAAGCTCGTACCGTATAACTATTGCATCAGATCGAAATAGTGGTGAACTTGCTGGGCCAGGAGGCAATAATCAGAGACCAAACTGCTTAAAAGTACAGCCAACCAGGCCTTCTCCGCTTTAAGTTTGTGTAGTAGGCTTGAATTTTGGAAAGCTTTCAGTGTTTGGCAGACCTAAAAATGAAGATCTATCTCTAAAGTTAGAATCTGGGCATTATCATTCAGCAGGAGCTTTCAGTGTTTTCCGATTCTTCTCCATCAACTTGTGCCTCTCTTCTGATTGTCAATAGGGATTCAACTACCCAAAAGTCTTCCAGTGGCTTAGGAGGTTAGGAGCCCTCGTGCATTTAGGTCTGTTGTATAGTACATCCTAAGCCTGATAAAGACGCATCCAACAAAGACAGATCTAATTCTTATTGATCGCAAGTAATCTTGGTGTTCCCATGAGGCGAACACTTCTCATGTTATTGTGTTTAGAGGAGTCACTAGAATGAAAATAAGAACTCACCATCAAATTATGCCATCTATTGCAAACACAACGCATATTAGCAATTACTTAGTGGGCAGGTTTATGAAAATCTCTATAAAAGGTCTTCCAAAAACAAATCTATCTCCGAAACAAAAGCTTAATCTTGTACGGAGGAAGGGATGGATATCAAATGAAAGCAAAAAATATTTTTAAGTAATCTTGAGAGCCAACAACAATAGAAAATACTCTTGTTGATATATGTTTTACATACACTCCATATAGGAACAAGGGACTTAATCGGATAACAGTAACTTAGGTACGGGAAGAACAAACCCTAGTTGTAAGGATTGAATGACATTGTTTTTTATTACATAAAAATCTGAAATTACATTGATATAAAACGTGAATACAAATTACTGTAGAACAACACCCTTTCTGGTATTCCTAAAGATTACAATGGTCCTATGGATCAAATTTTCTTTTCTTTTCTTTTCTTGTCTTTGTGATTAAATTTTTACTTTTTAAGTTTTTCTTGATATAATAGAAAATGATTGGGATTAATTTTGATACTCATACGTGAAGTTAAACGAGCTAAGAGGTTTCAACATTCCATTAAATGGACCACAATTACATGAATAGAAAATAGAGTACTAAATTAGCTTAGTTTGGGAAAGATAGGGATCAATTTTGTACTTTAGCAAACATTTCGATACTCCATTAAACTAAAGATATGTGAACTTAGGAAGAAACTGAAATAAGGATTGCAGCAGAACAATATGGAACAACATTTTATCCTAACAGTTACAGGAGCAAAATTCTGCTTAATAATTTATGTACAAGATGATTCTCCATCTCGGATGTTTACATTTAACAACTACTTAGGATGAACAAGATAGCATGCAAACCCCTGGGCGGTAAGCCCAGGCGGGGGGAAGGCGAGCATATTTCTCCATTCCCGGTTGCTCATCAAATGGACGCTCTATTAACTTCAGCAGCCGGCGAACCTCTTCGAAGTCTCCCATTTCCGCGGCGTCGATGGCACTTTGGCAGAGATAGTTCCGAAGGACGTATTTTGGATTAACGGAATCCATTGAAGCCTTCCTTTGCTCATCTGAGATATCACCCGTCGAAAGCTGCGTAATTTGCAAAAAGAGAGACTGTCAAGCATGTTGTCTACGTGGAAGTTTTAGCGGTGGTCTCAGTAGATATAGTAAAGAGGAAGAAGACATGCCATCACTATCAGGTACAAGCTCAAAGCTATAAAGATTTCTCATGGAAACAGAGAATTTGCCAATAACACACGTGATGCTGACAACAACAATTCACTTCTTGTATTTATATAAATGACACTTCTGCCAAAACTGTAAGATATGCTAACAACGTGGATGTTATGCGATAGTGCACCTATGAAGCTGCAGTACAATATTGTTGAATGATGACTGAAGATTAATTATGATTGTACAATTAATAATGCAATTGCAGAAAATTGCTCAAAGAACACACTATTCCAAAGAGATATGTTTCAGCTATGGCTGCCACTATGGTAAGTACAGGCAAAGTCAACAGCTGCAGTGTGTTTGGACAATGAAAGTCTGAACTGCTGTTGACAATACCAAAAGCGGTACTAAACAGTAAAGAAAGTACACCATCTTCCCAATTCAGAAAGCACATAACAGATCAAGAGAAAAATTAATCTAATAAAATTCAACACTTTTCAACACATTCATATGACAAAAAAAAAAGCTTCCAGTGCGAGTAAATACATTCGAGCTCCTTTTCCGGGGAAAAAAACTTAGTTAAGCTTCTCATTTTGACAGCAACTTGAATGAAAAACATCTTACCTCCTGTATGTAGGATTGTACCCAGCTGGTCCATGCCTCTTTCCGCTCTTTACCGATGTCCAGCAATGCTGCTTTCAGAGGAACTAACAATTCATCTTCAGGAATGGTAGGATCGGCTTTGATATTCGAAAGCAACCGGAAGAAATTTGTGTAGTCCACTTTATCCACCGCCATGTTATTAAGAAGTTTGCTCAGCAACTGCTTATTGTACTTAGGAAGGCCAAGTTTTTGAGTCATTATATATTGATAGTCATCCATGAACTTGGTCCCATATCTGCGACAAGACATGCAGATGCAATTGCAATAAGAACACGCCCAAAGAAAAGGAAAGGAATCCAAAGATAATGGCCCAAAAGTACCTCTCCATGACATAATTAGCCTCCTTTTCACTAATCAACTTAGCAGCAGATAGAGTGGTGGTAAATTGGGCTATATTCCACAAGCAAACATCAGGCTGGTTTGCAAAACAGTATCTCCTACCAGGAAGATCTGTAGTGTTTGGTGTGTAACTGGGATCAAAAGCATCCAAAAATCCAAAAGGACCATAGTCTATGGTGAGTCCCAGCACACTCATGTTATCCGTATTTAGGACTCCATGTGTGAAACCAACACCTTGCCATTTTGCAACCAAGGATGCTGTACGCTCAGAAACTTCCACTGCCCAAGCTGTAGATATCAAAACATTAAGGAAACTGTAATGAACTTTATTGTACCAAAAATTCTACAATTAAATAACTTCCGTTATGAGTTCTTCTATGACGTAAGAATGAGGATGTGGTGGAGGTTGGATAAAAATTGCTATAGACATGTAGCAGCCAAAAAAAAAAATCGATAATTGTCCACCTTCATGATTAGCCAATACCAAATTAGAAGACTGAAAAACCATAGGCAGTCTCTCAGACCTCAACTAGCAGTTTAGTTTTCCAGATCTGAACAAATAGCAATATGTGGTGGGGGTTGGATAAAGCAATGGCTGTAGACATGTAGCAGCAAAAACAAAAAAAAAAACAAAAAAAAAACAAAATCGATAATCGTCCACCTTCACGATTTGCCAAAACCAAATTAGAAGACAGTCAAAAACCATGGGCAGTCTCTCAGACCTCGGCTAGTAGTTTACTTTTCCAGATCTAAACAAATAGCAATATGAATGATATTAACAGTACGGCGTAGACTACAGTTACAAAGGAAAAATGATCATTCCCAATGTGGAGCCAAGCGACCAAAGGAAAATCGAATATTTCTAATGTAGGGGAAGATCGGCCACAACAAGCCTACTCAAGAACATGCGATTGGTTCACCAAATCTAACACATTGCAAGTTGAGAGTGACACAAAGCAATTAATATTTTAAGTATTGCATTCTCACACATACTATAAGGTGGTTCACAGCAAATATTTATTACTAAAATACACATATGTTTGAGGTCAAACCTGCATATTTGTTTGAGGTCAGATCCACCACTTCATTGTCTTCCTCCCCAGTACTGAAAGATACACTTTCACTCTTTTCCATATGTTCCAAATGGGGATAATGATGCCTGATTGTGTAGTCCGCCAAAGTTCGAACTATATCAAGATTTTCATTTGCTCGGGAAGCATGTATCTGATATGAACCAAAGCGCAGAAAGGATGGAGCAACTCTGCAAACAATTGCACCAGGTTCTTCCTTTGGGTTTCCACTGCATGCAAATAAACAACAAAAACTCAATGCATAAGGGAGCCAAAAAAGTTGGAAAAGTGTATGGAAGAATAGTAATTAAAAACAAAAAGCAAACTAAAATAAATAAATAAATAAATAAGAAGAAGAAGAAGAAGAAAGGTGGACCTGGAAAACACTCCAAATGGAGTAAAACAGAGAAACTACAATATGACCCCACGAAGTGGTGTCTGTAAGAAGTTTCTTAGAAAATTTATGCAACAACCTAGTACAAGCCTCCAGAGAGTATAATATCAAAATTGTACTGGTTTCAAACTAGGCAAAGTCCAAAATAATATAGAAGGCACAGAATAGGGCCTAAATTTGACATCAGGCAGTTCTCAGATTTCCTTTTCTGTATTTGCAACTATCAGCTTATTTTAGAGCATACAATTTATTTCCCAGAAAGATTATTGCACTTTAATTAAAAAGATCTAGCTCACAAAAGCAGATAAACACAGAAGGATCAAAGCGCCTACTCGTAGAACATGTCTCGAACCACATATTTGCCTGTGGTCACAAGACAGAGAGCACGTGTTGTCGGGATTCCCAAGAAATGCATTGCTTCGCTACAAAGGAACTCTCGTATACTACTTCTTAATACTGCAAGACCATCTGCAAACCTACTATATGGTGTCTTTCCAGCACCTTTCAGCTGCAATTCCCACCTCTCAGATTTCGAATTTAGAAGCTCCCCAAGAGTTATTGCTCGGCCATCTCCTAACTGACCAGCCCACATTCCAAATTGATGTCCTCCATAGCATTGAGCATATGAAACGCTGAAAGACTATCGAGATAAGACACCAATTGAACATCGCAACAATCATTACACAGAGATGAACAATGAGAATAACACCTACCCTCCAACCAAAGGAGAAGCCCCCGAAAAAATGAGGGGAAAATCCGATCTTTCGAACCTGAGATATTCAGGAAGATGCAATAAAGATATTATTGAAGTAATAGGAAAATGACATCAATGAGAAGTGAACAGAATTCTAAACAAGTAAAATGCAGATCTCCATAAACTAACCTCTGATAGAAATAAGCAAGAAGTTCATGTTCTAACTTCAAGAAGGCATCGTAAATGAAAATTATATAAATGACGCTAAAGAATTTTCTCCAATTTATGTAAAATATGAAGGAAGCAACAAAAGCACACGTCTTGAAAGAGCAAAACAGCTTTTGTACAAAACTTCAAAATACGTAGACATTGCAAGTTTACAGAGAGAAAAAATAAATAATAATTAGCCTGTTCAACCATATTTCTAGCTTGAGCATCATACTGCAAGGCGGCTATGGGAATTGCTACTCATTTACACAGCAACTTAAATATAAAGAGTAACAGTTTACAAACAACGAGATTATTCAGAATATCTTCACGTCAAACCTTTGATGTAACAACAAAATTTCCCAACAGTCCTACAGAAGAAAGAAAGCAACTTTCCACTGAGTTTTGTAAGCCACAATAATCAGCCATTTCTATCAAGTCAAACTTCACAAAGCACATCCTTGGAAAGAGGCCGAGAGTGGCCATACAATATGGCACTCCTGTTATCATCACAGGCATAACATCGCAAGTGACACACTTGAGCAAAGATAGCTTTGCATTAACAAATCTTGATTCCCAAGAATTGGTGATTTCCACATTGTAAACATAACAGTATCACTTAACAAAATCAATGTGTTATGAAACACAATGAGCCAAAACAAGAATTAAAGGCTACTAGTACATAGCTAAACCAAGAAAACATGACATTCTTTTCTTCTACAAGAGCAACATTTTGTTTGAAGTCCTATAACAAGAGGTTGTGTTCACATAGCCAATGACATTGGGTTTCCACTTTTTGTCATTTGGCACCCCTCTGATGTTGCCAAGTATAAACAATATTTTCTCTAATTATACTCCTTCCAACCTAAATGAAGCATCAATATCATCATCCTAATCCCCAAATTGCACCATGCTGAATGACATATCTTAAGATCTCTGATGCGGACAAGGAAGAGTAGAAGAACTCTAACAGTATGTTCTTCCATTCTTATGCCTAGGATCATCATGATCCAAGGAAGGAACCAAAGTGTTAGGACTTTGGTTGAGTTAATCCTTCATTAAGCAGCAATTAAATTAGGTTATTATTTTCAGTATTAATTTTTAGGCTAGGGTATTTTAGTATATTAGCTATGCTGCAGGATTTTCTAGAATAAAAAGGAAATTAGGTATGAATCCTAGTTGTCTTTGGTTTAGGTTAAGTTTTAGGCCTATTTATATGTACCTCATATGAGGAGAATATTCAGACGTTGATTAATAAAATTCCTGCAAAAAGCTTTGCTTTGCAAAAATTGTGTGATACAGCTTCAAATCCTGAGGAGTGACGCCAAAGGTGACTAGGAGTTATTCTTAGTTGGTTACCCTTTAATTTTCCGCTGCAATACTACTTCTTTTAAGCTATCTTTCTGAGATTTTTCCTAAGTTTTCCCTGCTGCCTACTTGAGGTTTCTTAACCTACGGTCTGTGTTTAAACACCCACGTTCGTGCTGCGTCAATCTCTCTATAGCATTTCAAGACTACACATATATGGTAAGTAATATACTCACTCTTTGGGATCCAAATCAAGTAATTCAGCCACAGATTCTGACCAGCAAACAAGCTGCGGGTTCTCTACCTCGGCAGAAGGCGACACTTTAGTGTAACAAGAATGCAAGACCTGCAAGTCAAACCAGAGAAGGCAATATGAGCACAATGAGGTTCGACAATACAGATTTACTTTCTGAAATAACTCTAAAAGTTTGAATGGTAGTTAGAAGCCTAGTAGTTGTCATAATCACAAGATTAGCTTACTGATCTTACAATTCATACCACAAAAACTATCAAGAGCATTAGAATCTTCAGTCAATCACCCAGTGGGATCTATGCAATATCCATCATACAAACCTAGATTTACCCTTAAAGAAATATCTTCCCTGCTCCGTAAAATTCATATTCATCGTCATCGAATCAGTTCAATAACAATTTTAATGACTCTAAATAACCTTAACTTAATAAAACATGAAAGAAATAAATTAACTTTCCCTAGAATAGAACAACATTCACCCATCGGAAAAGTGCATATGAAAGGTTCATACTACACGTTATAAAATTGACTTGAGAACATTAATATTTTTAAATATAAATCATCCATATTTGAGTCCATATACACAAATAGTTTACTATAGCTAAAAATTAAAAATTCTAGCTTTCTTTAAAATCCTTGAAACCATCAGCTTTCGTCCAACAACCTTAAACTGATCCTCAGTCCAAATCAACGGATACGGACCACGTGTAATTACTAAATCCAGTCCACAGAGAAACAAGAAAACTAACTTCAAATCATCTGACAAAATTAAAATGAAGTAAAATCAAACAAAACAGTTTCCTTAAAGCCTATTAAGTTTGATTTTAATGAATTACAAGTTACTATTTTACGAATTTAACAAAAGGAATATCCCCATCAATGCGCACATTAGAAAGATCATACAACCAACAAAGCCACTAAAACCTCAACTTCAAATAACACTTGTAAGTGTAAACCTTAAAACGGGGTAACAATAGACCAAAGAAAACAAAGCATATGTCTCCAGCATAAACAACGTCTTTAGAGTTTACATGATAAATCAAGAAGTGACATCAACAGAAAAATCCCAATTTGAATAATTGACAACCTAAGCAACTACAGCCACAAATTCAAACGTTTTTATCAGCAAAGACTCCAGTTTTAGCCATCGAGTTTACAGAAGCAAACAAAAACTAAAACCCACAAAAGAAACGGAAGAAATGAATAAAAAAAATTAGAAAAACACAAAAAAAAAAATTAAAAAAAAAAAAGACAGAATCCTTGAATAAATACCTCTCGGGGAATTATATCAGTTCTGGGGTCACCGGGCAGTTCACGAACAAACGAATGATCCCAATTAAGATCCTCAAGCGTCAGCTTAAGCCCTTTATTAAGGTTTTTACCATTAATATCACTACTACCATTGTTGGTTTCACTGCTATTACTAACATCGGCCTCATTACTGGAGTTTAAGGTTTGATTTCTGAGATCATCGGAGATGGAATCGACGGCTGCGATTGAAGGAGGAGAATCCATGGACGAAGAAGAACGGGAAGGTAAGAAGGAGAAACGGGGTCGCGGCTGTGATTTGAAAGGGAAGAGATGATTGAATCGTTTGGAAGAAGTTAGGCAGAGAGAAGAGCGGAGATTGAAGAAGGCGGTGGTGGAAGAACAAGCTGAAATGTGGGAAAGCATTTTCCTTTTTTTCTTCTTTTCCCCTTTTTTCTTCTGTTTAATTTTTAATTTTTGTTAGAAGAGTGCACGAGTTTTGCACACCCACCGCCTTTTTTTTTTTTTTCTCTTTTAATAATATATTTATTGGAAATTTTGTATTCTTGGATATAGGAAAAATTCTCATTAAGGATGTCACACCTTTCATAATTCCAGACGAGGGCATGAGATTTTTAGAATTCCTAACAAGAATACTCTAATATATTAAACCTACTTTATGGACATCTATAAAATAGGTTAGGCATGCCTACTCCTGTAATGTAACTGTATCTTATTTATAGAGAGATCGTAGAAGGCTCACATAGGCTAACTAACGCGTGCCTTTATCCTACTCCTGTAATGTAACTGTATCTTATTTATATATATTTATAAATGCTAGTTTTCAAAAAAAAAAAAAAAAACTTTATGGACATCTCTACCCGTTTTTTTGTGTAATAACTAGATTTTTAAAATCGGGATTCAAAGTAGAATCGTTTTTGGAGTTAGAACTGCGAGTCTTAGAATCGTATATTAGAATCGTAAGATTCTAAGAAAAGTTTGTCAAATTTGTTTGGGTAGTCGTTATTATCATAAAGATTACCTATTAATTTAAAAATTACTTTCCACTGCCATCTATGCCTTTTTATATGGAGTTACTTAAATTTAGGTACTACGCGCATCAGCAGTTACAATTTAATAAACAAATACAAAAAATCAATATGTCAAATAATAAGTAAATACGCAATTTCAAACTCCAATCGTTTAATTAAAACATACAAGTACATCATTTACCATCATCTCCGAAAAACCACCATCAAAACACATCATAAAAAACCAAACTAAAAACCATATCCAAAATCAATTGCATTTTCAAAAGCAAATTACTCATCATCATTATCATCATCAATATAGTCATAAGCACCAAATGACTCTAATTGCTTCGATTTGAGAGGTTGATTTTGAGTTTAGGGCTTAGGAGTTGAAACCGTGTGTGTTTGTTTTTTCGACGGGGGAGTAATTGAAATTATGAAACCGTAAAAGTGATGAGCTGGCCGATGGATGTATCATGTATTGTAGTTAATTTTTTATTTTATTAAAAATTTGTGGTTTTTAAATGGTGTAAATTAAAAACTTTATGGCCCAAAATTTCAGCCCAACAAGTTTAATTCAATAAAAAAGACAAAAGAATACCTAAATAGTCAAAATTCTTAGAATCATAAAGAATCGCTAAATCGTAAGATTTTAACATTTTTAAAGATTCTAGCGATTTAATTAAGATTCTAGTGCACTAATATATTAAAGTCGTAGACTTTTGATACAATATATTAAAGTCGTAGAATCAAAGATTTTAAGACTTAAAGTCGAAATTTTAAAAACCTTGGTAATAATTAATGTCATATTTCCTTGACAAAATATTGTGCTTGTTATACTGGATTCTTCTTTTAATTTCTTTTGTTTTAAAATATCTACCAAACTCAATAGTGCAATTTATATTACTTTAATTTGACATACATGATTTTCTGTAATTTATTAGAATCAATACTCTTCGTAAAGAAAAAAGGCTGAATTTTTGATAATTTTGGAAAATAAAAAGACTGCCAAATGGACCAGGCAGAAAAGAAAAGTTGTCGAGAAAACAAATTTTTGAGATTGAAAATAAAAGTATGACGAAAATAAAATAAATTACACGACTATAAAAAAACAATGCAGTACTTCTTTTTCATACTATAGTGGTTGTCTTAATATTCGTCTCTTCGTCTTCAGCACATATTAAACATCTAAATCTTTTTCTTGATGTAAATTTGGATAAAGAAATACATAACTGACCGTGATTAAAAATTGGACGTGGTAAAGACAATCCAACTTGAGAAAAGGACTATTTTTTACTCTTGTCAACTGTCATTGCGAAATAAACGGTCACTGAAAATTGTCTTCACTTCATTTGAAATGGAAACTAGATATTGGAGAGGTATAAAGACATCGAAGGAATGTATACGTCTTCCCCAACGTGACTGCCCGAGATATATTTTGTATTAATGACATATTGTCCTAACCTTAAGATTGAAGTCTAATACCATCACATAAACCACACTGCTGACCAACATTTCTCAGCAACAGAGCCAAAGTACCCGTCTTTATCTTCAGCTTATATAGGGATACTCCAGAACAATTGATACCATTAAAGAAATTAGGGGTGAACATTCCATTCTCATTATTTATGCCACTTTCTGACACGCAAATATCGTCCTCAAGTACACAACGCCTTCTTCCAGTAATTTGTCCAACATATGGTCATTTATGGTGTCAACATTGTCATGAGTTGGTGTAAAGATAAATATCAAAATAAATAGAATGGACAACTAAATTAACTAGGATACCATCATTTTTTATCAACATATCCCAAGTATTTCAATTTCAGTAGCACCATAGTTTCTGTTTTATTGAAGTAAAAAAGTTTAACTGTAATATTATTAAAACTTTGTATATCCTAAATTTAGTTTTCATCCATAGAGTGTACATTAAGTAAGATAATAGTTTTATAATTTTTTTTCTTAATGTTAAGTTTTTGAATAGTTTTTTTTATGATAACATCATGATTATTAAATTGAATTGTTATTCCCTAACACAAATAATTCAAAATTATTATTCCCTCTATCCCAAAATTATTGTTCAGTTTGAAATTTTATTTTAGTAAAATTTTGAACTAAAAGTAAAAAATCTAAAGTAGACAATAATTTTTAGACGGCGGGAGTACATTTTTTATAAAGAGTAATGATTGTTGCGAGAATAATTTGCACGAAAACTATACTGGGAATGAATCATAACCATCCATAATTAAACCTTACCTTTACAGGTTTACATTTAAGGATTAAGGGATAATTAAGATTCAATTACATCATTCCCTGTTAAAATTTTTTGTAAATTTTTCCTAGTATCACTGGTCTTTTATAAATTATGTGTTCTCCATGCATTAAGGTGCCTTTGTCATTGTTACATCAATTTTAATTTTTTTGGCTAAGTGCCAAGCCAGTTGAGATACGTTGGTCCCTCCCAAAGATGTTATTTAATTACTTATCCCCTACGCTAAAGTACCTTAGTCATTGTTAGAGTAGTCTTTTAACTTTTCACCAGATGTTCCCATCCATTACGTTGCCTTAGTTCGACCCGTTGAGATCTATTAATTACTTCTAGAATAATTTTAAATATTCTAGCCAGATATTTTGTTGTTAACATATTTTTGTCATTGTTACCACTAGTCTACTACAATATGATAATGCAGAAATGGCATTATCTCATAATAGAGGTTATGATTGCTTCAACAAATATGAAACACTGGCACAACCTGATTAAAAAGAAAGGTACATGAATACATTTCTGCATCATTGTTTATTCATTTTTGTTAGTTATTTTTCATTTTTCTCTTAATCATTTACCTTGCTTTTTTTTTTTTTTGAGAATCTTAATTTAAAATGTATTGGTAACAATATTATTTTCCATTATGTCCTTCTTTCCTTGAAGTTCATGTCCCTTTTGATGATTTCAATCATTTTATGAAAGTCTTGTTTCTTAACTTATTATCATTAAGTTTTTTTTCTTTGGTCAAAGGTAAATTGTACGTTCATTCACTGTGCAAACTGTAAATCATTTCTTCCAGCCTATTACATTAAAATTAAGAGGTCTAATTCCAATCCTGTCTAAGTACTTTAGATCTTCCCTGGTACCTTTCTTACAGTTCATCTGTATTTTTAAAGATAGCTACATTCTAATTCTAGTTATCCTTTCCTATTCAGTCATTTTCTTCTGCACCCCAGTTCCTTTCCATCCATACATGGTAAACACAAGCATTAATGCACACAAACAACATACTTTCTTTCAATTTTCCGTTCTTCATTTTCTTCTACAACCTGGTTCTGGTCCTTCTTAGACACTAAATATTTTCCTTTGGTCCCGTCGAGTTCAATACCCTAGTCACAGTTTGAGAATGTTGCATTTAAAAAAAACATATGATCCACAGTTTTCTCTGCCATATCACATAATTCACAATGGATAGACTCCTTCAGCAAGTTCATTTTCTCTACTTTTTCTTGCGTTAACAGCTTGTTTTTTAGTGCCACCCAGCTTATAAAACTATATTTAGGGAGACAATATGGGCTCCATACAATTTTAGAATCCCTTTCTTTTGGCAATTTTCCCATCATCCATTGGTAGCCGCTCTTTGTAGTGTATCTTTTCTTGCTATTTCCTTGCCATTCTCCATTCAAGAACTCCATCGTTTATGCTATTCTTTACATGCATCATATTCTTCCAGTGCCAGCTATTGTCTTGGGGTAGTTGATAGTCGTATATTTCCTTATCTTTTAAGTTGTACATATGGATCCATTTGATCCATAAGATTTCCTTCTTGTTGTAGATATCCTAGAGTTATTTTCCAATCAATGTTCTATTCCAAATACTAGGCTCTTTTATATCTGAACCACCTTTTATCTATGAACCACCCTCTGATTTGCTTTTACAGATCTAAGCCCAGGCTACCCATAAAAATTCTCTATATACTCACTCAATTTAAAAAGCTTTATGACTTTTTGATTAATCAGAAAGATTCCAGTCCAATAGGATTGCAAACTAAGTAAAATAGAATTGATCGATATATAACCTACTAGCATAGGATAGGTGCTTGGTTCCCCAGCATTTTATTCTAGCAACAATTTTCTCAACTAACTTTTATAATCCAAGTATGAAATCTTATAGGAAATAATCCTATATCAAATTCCGATATCTTTCCCTTTCCTGTACCTCGTCACTTACACCACCAAAATGTATATTGGACTTTTTAACATTACTAGAAAGGCCAGTGGTTGTAGCAAGCTTACTCAGTGTTTCTTTGATAATATATATTGTGGACACATCTGCCTGACATAAAATGATCATATCATCTGCAAATGTAAGATTGATGATTTTAATTTTTTGCAGTAAGGGTTGAATTTAAAACCACCTTTCACTGGTTTCAATTTGAACATTTTAGTCAAATAATTCATTACCATGACAAAAATCATCGCAGACATTGGGTCTCCATGCCTTAATCCCTTTTTACCTCGAAAAAAAACTTGTACATAATCCATTTAACAGTAGTAATGCATTCCATAATCCATTTAACAGCTTTAGGTGGGAATCTCTTATGCACTAACATTTCAACTATGAACTCCCAGTGAATGGAGTCATTAGCTTTTCTAAGGTCTACTTTTATCAGACATGATGGCTTTATATTTTTCTTCCTGTACAACCTCACCAATTTGTGAGTAGTAGGATATTATGCAATATTTATCTCCCTTGTATAAAAGCACCTTGATTTATGTTCGCAATCTCAGGAGGAATACTACTTAATCTTGAGCTTATCATCTTAGTGATGCATTTATACACATTATTACAACAGACAATCGGCATGTATTCAAGGGTATCCCAAGGAATCTCACTCTTTGGTACAAGTGATATAAGAGTAGCATTCAGTTGCCTTTGCAGCGTACCTGTCTGAAATAATTTTAAGTAACATTAAGTTTGTTTTTTAATCACTTGTTCATTTATTTAAATGATTTTCCACTTTATTTAATCTTATGTTTTTGTTTAACTTTGCACATTTTTCCACCTATAAAATTTTAGGTGTAGTAGTGGCAATTTTGTATAAGTCACCCGGCCCATTTACATTAGGACGCGGACTCTTTCTACGTGTTTCAACATTTGGAAAGGTGAGTTTATTTCTTTCTTTCTTTTTTCAAGGCAACAAGTGAATAATCCATTAATCAAACCATTTAGTCACTGGTTATTAAAAATACATAAAAGCATAAATGAAGTTCACAACAGTACTACTAGTTCAAGACATCTTTCAGAAATCACTCTCCTAGCAAACCAACTTACCACTCCTTTCGCAAGGCTTCGCTTCTTGCATCCAAGAAGGGCAATAGGTTTCTCAAAGAACAACACATTGATCTACCTATCACAATCCAATCCACTAGGGAATTGATATTATCATTTTGAATCGTCACATCAAAGCAGAAAATGAATAATCCATTGATCAATCAGTCATTCACAAAGATATAAAACCTTTAAAAGTTTCATCAGATACTACTAGTTCTTCCTAGAGTGCTACTCTCCAAGCCAACCAACTTGGTCCTCCATCTTTGCCGCCTCAAGTTGGGATTCCATCTCTGCCAACTCTTCTTGCAACCAAGAGGGTGCTCCGTGCTCCCAAGACCTTGATCCCCTGTGCTCCTTAAGGCGCTGACGAGTGTATCGGCGATATGTGAGACTATCGCTTCCGTACATGTGATACCGGCTACAGCAAGATCCACATAAAAACCCTCAGTAGCCTCATCCTTAGTTTTGCAAAACGTTGCCCCACTATCATCCTCATCTCCCTGATGTAGATCAACAATATACTTACCTAGAAACATTTTCGCTCTCCTTTGATCACCCACCGGAGTATCCACGGGAGAAGCCAGGAAGGTAATTTTGTACAGAGAATGCGAAGTTGGAGGGGTAAAAGTCACGTTTAGTACATGCAAACCTGATAATCCTGGTCATGTGTTTCGTTATAAAGTTGGATGCATTTATCGGCTATGTCAAGGATCTCAGGCTTGATTGTACCATCATCATCATTTTTGAATTTATATGGGAAGAGCGTTGCTTTGTAGCTATTATCAAGAGGAACAATGATATCATAACCCTGGCTTCTGTGCATGATGTCGAAGTAGGTCTTCCATTTATCCATATCCCAACACTCCACACCTTCACCACTTTCTATCAACTGCACAGCAAAAGAGTCAGACAATTCAGAGTCAGATAATTCTTTGCCCTTGTTGGACAACTCCGATGACTCAGCCTCTTTTCCACCGCCACCTACTTCCTTAGCAGCGGCGGCGGCAAACTCAGCCTCTGCTAATGCCTGCTTAGCAGTGGCCGATTTTCTATAATTGTCCGCAGTTGTAATCTGTGCTATCTATAACTTTCGGCTATGGGAACGCTGAGAAGGATGATTGATTTGAGCAAAGAGGTCGTAACCTACTTGCTGGACAGATCTCGATCTCTCCGACTGTCGTAGTCGAGAGCGGTTTGAAGATCCAGATTTGTAGCTTTTCCACCATCGTTGATGCTAAAAGTTTAGCAACCTCTATCTGCAAGGATGGTAGAAACATACGAATGGCTGAAAAATAAATGTTGGTTCCTTCTTCGTTAACCGGATCGATGCCTCTTTCAGAAACCCTAGTCTGCGATGTATTCTCAAATCTCCATAGAAAGAGGGGAATTATGAAATCAATTGATGATGTATTGAGAATGCGAGTTTATTTCTTCTACAAAAGAAAAAATAATCTTTAAAAATTATGAAAATTAAATATGTTCAGAAGATAAATAACTATCTATAAGCACAAAATGTATTTACTACAGTAGAACATTGGTAAATTAATAATCTACAAATTCACAACCTCTAACAATTAATAATTTCCTCCAGTTCCAAGTTGGGACCAGTACAAAAGTGAAGAAAATCGATAAAATGATAAGATAATAATATTTCAAAAAATTTCCTATATTTCTATAGGTCCCAACAATATTGTGAATTAATAAATACCTTAAAAGCAAAAAGATAATAATAATAGCGATAAATATTTAGTACAATATGAACCATTTATGTTTATTTTTTAGTTCCTGGAGGTGGTATGAACTACATATGGATATTAAATATTCAGAAAAATTTTAACACTCAATTAATTCAGATATAAAGACAACTACAAATTATGTAATCTATTGACGGTTCTTTTTTTCTCATAAAAATTTCTTTAAATTAATAATTTAGTAATTTATCAATTATTTAATAATTCTCTAAATTAATAAAGTTTAATGGTCCCAATACTATTAATTTATAGAAATTATATTATATCTTGAATATTATTACTCTTTGCAAATCATGGAAAACATTAAAAAAAATTGATTTTCAGTTGATCATTTCCACTTTCCTCTTTTTGCATATAAATAAATTTCATATATATATATATTATATTTACTATTAAAAACCATTATGTATAGTGAAGTAGAGTGACTCACTTTAAGATCTCTTGAAAATTAATAATATCAAATATTCTATAGAAAACTCGGTATTTCTTGTCTTCTTCATTTTCTTCTTTTTTTTATTGTTTATTGTTTATTTTTTATTTTTTATTTTTTGGTATTTTCTGTAACCAGAGAAAAATAGGTCAACATTGTTTCGAATTTTATTTGACTTGTTTTTGCGATAAAACAGAAGTGGAACATATCATCTTTTTCCAATCCTAATATTTTTAAGTCCATTAAACATTCCAATGTAAAAAAATTATTTTTTCCTTTTAAATATTTTAGTTTTCTTTTTATCACTTTTTGACGAAAGGATCTAGATTTCCCTACAAAGGAACCAAAGAATCCAACCCATCTTTTTTTTTCTTTTCTTTTTTTTTTTTGAGCAAGTTGCAAGGGAGAGCATCAATGTAAGCTAAAAAAAACAAATATTTCAGCAGTAACAAAATCCATAACAGTAGCAGCATGCGAATAATAAATCAGAGTAATACGAGCACACTATGGAAAATGGAAATCCTTAATATTATTGATGATGGGGGAAGGGGAGGGGGTTGGAGAGGGGGGATATGAGAACATTGGTGCATGACGTTGAAGTGCCCTTCTGTTTTTTATATGAAATGGAAACCTTGACCCCATCTGTTCTTTCAAATGATTGTTTTGATATTTATGCAGGCGAAGGAGAATTTTGCTATGAGATGCATAATAGCCTAATTGTTCTCCGTGTCTCTAACATAAAATTATGTAAGATAATCTTCCGAATGACAAATTGTACAGGATATACAATTTGTATATTATTCGAAATGTTTCAACTACTTGGCCAAATAAAAAGTTATAAATAGTTTTTTCTTTTGTTAATAAAATGAAAATGGTGATACATTTCCAAATGAAATCATGTATCACGGAACATACTTTAGTTTTGTTTTCCATGCATAAAGAATACATATATATAAAAAATAATATGTATCTATATATATATATTATGTCATGACATTTCCCTTTACTCAAAATATTAACAAATAATAGTATTTCACAAGTTTTATACCCATATATATATGACATGCATTTTTAATTTTTTATAAATAACTCATAAAAATATTGTAGTCTAACCAGCACATCGTGCGGGTTTAATATCTAGTTAAGTAAAATGGGATAACAAAAACTCATTGTAGCGGCCAACATTTTCCCACCAAAAGACATTTGGCACTAATTTTTCCATAATGGAATTCACATTCTCAGTTTCTTTGAATTTTCCAAAGGCACATAACTGTTTTCAAACATCATTTATGGGTCAAACTCAAACTTTAATGTTGATAAATCTTTTCCCAACATGCCCACAGATTCATTGTGATTCATTTTGGCAAAATTGATAGCTGAATAGTATTTTGAGAGAATGATTCAGATAAACTCATTAAAAAAAATCCCATGAAAAATTAGGGATTATAGTTACTCAGGTGGAAAAAGGAATCAAGGGCCCTTAAATCTTTTTTTTTTTCTGGGAACAGTTAAAAAACCACCCAATATCTGCCCTTAAAATATACCAAAGTTTAAGCAAAGGTTAAAGCATAAGAAAAAGAACTTCCTAATTGTAGTGAATTTGTTCATACTCCTGTAAACCAGAAAAAACAAGTGCAAAAACCTTAATAATATCATTGATAATGAGAATTGGATAGCCATATATATATATATATATATATATATATATTCATTATAGTCTAAGTCCCTAAGCTGCATGTTAAATAAGTTTCTGAGGTCACGATCAGTTTGAAGTACACCTATAGAATAGTCTTCGAAAGTAAAACATGAGCGCAATCATAAATAACCCCTGCTTGAGACGATCACATCCACCCTTACGAGTATTTGATGCTCAAACTTGATATACCATGGATTAGGATACGAGGGATAAAAAGAAAATGAGAATTCGAAGAACAATTAAAAAATAAATTAGAGAAGAGCTACTTTGAAGATTACATTGTGACTGGCTTAGAATACCAACGGAGATAGAAGCCATATTTATAGGCTTTTTACACATGATAATTACCTATTTTCACTACTAGATAATAATACAAAAACTAAATTATCAACTACTCAACACTTATAATTCCAGCTCTTGTCTATCCTTTTCTTGATGATATCCCCTTCATGATAGTTATCTTTAACATCCTCCCTAAAACTGAGTCAGGGTTAGAGACACAGTTTGTTTCTTGAGTTATTCTGATGATGTTTTGGGCTACTTTCCCTGGTGAGAATGTGAGTGACGTGTGTGTTTTTGAGTGGTGTGCTTAAATTACTGGCTGTTAGAAATTGTTGAGAAATGAGCTGTATCAATTCTCACTGCTGTGTTAGATTGTTGTATGAAAAGTCCAACCTCGTCTTCTGAGAGGAGATCGAACGTTTGCCATAATGTGGATTTTTGTACATAGAGATATTTTTCTCTTTGTCATCTACGTATTTTGTTTCTTTTGTCAACCACAGAATTTTTGTGATCGACATTGAACTTACATTGATGAGAGGTGGTGGTGATTGAGTGTAAGTCGGTTGCTGCTTATGTTGCCTGAGTCTGGTTTTGAGTGAATCTAAGAGGGTAGACCCGGGATGGAGTTTGGGACTTTCAGAATTGGAGTTCGAGCCAGAGATTGATGATGTCAACGAGGATGAGAAATAATTTAATGAGGCTGGGTAATAATTTTTTGTGGTGGTCATGGTGGTGATAGGGAGTAATTTTGATGAAGGCTTTGTAATTTTGATCGGTTTGGGATATCCAAGGACATGGATACGAATAGAAGATCAATGATTCTTTTAAGATTGCGACACCACGAATTTGGGAAATTCGTATAGAGGCAAATAGAAAAGCACTTATGCAATTGTGCTCTCGTCATACTAGACAAGCAAAGAGAATTGTCTGTTTCTTTAATAATAGATAATAGAAAACAACACTTGATTGTCAATCCGGCTAAGACAAGAAAAAAAAATTGAAAAATGGTGGTGCCGGCTATCAAACCCGCTCTGATACCATGACAAATTTTAGAAAACCCGAATTGGGTTAAATTTCACTCCTCTGAATAACATAGAAGCAATCCCAATATATAGGAGAGTTACAAGAGTTACAAAATATATTTACTGTAACTAAATAATAAAAACATATTTACTAATTACATTCACTAACAGATAGAGATTGACCATCATGGAAGCACATATTTGGCTGGAAGGCTTTTAGGACAAGTATAGATGGATTCCATCTTAATTCTTAGATTTTAAATTGAAAGAAATAAAACTTTTCTGCTCACACCAATACAACATCATAATATCTTCACTAAAAAGATGTAAGGCACAAAACACTACGCACGTGGTGTACAAGGGAAAACCGGGAAATGAGCCGAAATGGTATGTTGAATCAACCAAAGAGAATTGTTGTCAATCTCCCATATCTTCTAACCAAAAGGTAATGGTCTAAATTCTTCAAACTGAGATACATATTTATTCCATCTCCGATGTGCATAGTAGTGGGTAAAGAGAAGCTTTTGATCTTCGGCATCTATCGATTGAGCTGTGGATTGCATCTCTGTTGAATCCGTGTGAGGATCAAAGGCCAAAATCCCTCCCGAAATACACATCCAATGAAGCTTAGTATTTACTACAATAGCCTGGGAACCAAAAACAATACGTTCCTGGGGTGAAGGGTTGACTCCTAAATCTCGCCACTTGCCGGTTTTCTGAAGAAAATATCATAAATTTTCGAGGGCCAAGAACAAGAACCATCGTATAACCACTACGAATTCCATTTTAGTTTGAGTGACAAGACCCAAATTACTAGGTGGGTTGGGAAAAGAGCTACGAGAGGAGAGAAAAGTGAACCATTCAAGGACCTTTAAACCTTATCATCGTGCTGCATTTAAAAAAAAAAGAAGGGATTGTGGAAACATGCGTTATTGGGAAATTAAAAATTGTCCGTTGTTGGAAAATTTGAACCAAACTATTATTGTTGCCGTAGGATTTATTAATTTATTGTTGCTTTTTGAGAAAAGAAAACCGTGAGATCAATAGTTTAAAGGAAAAAAAAAAAGAAAAGAAAAGAAGGAAACAATGATTTTGC